GAAGTGTACTGTCTCTCTTTGCGAGAACAATAGACTGAAACTGCTAAAAGTTAAATAAAAAAGACTCTCATATGTTTAGTGAAAAAAAAAACAGAAATGTTCTATTTAATTGAAATGTTATATCTTTGTTTGTAGCTAAAATAAAAATAGTGGAATTTTTTTTTAATTTTATAAAAATCTATATTATACGCATAAAATATATATATATATATTAAAAAAAAAATATATATATATATATATATATATATATATATATATATATATATATTTGTTAAAAAAGTTTATTTAGCATTTTATATGCGTATAATATTGTATTTTATTAAATTAAAAAATCATTCCACTATTTTAATTTTAGCTACGAACAAAGTTATAACATTTCAATTAAATAGAACATTTCTGTTTTTTTTTTCACTAAACATTTGACAGTCTTTTTTATTTAACTTTTAGCAGTTTCAGTCAATTGTTCTTGCAAAGACAGACCTTACACTTCTCACAGTATGCATGTGAGAAGTAATTGCAATGTTCTTTTGCCCTTTAGGACTCCCATGTCTATCATTTTGTTTTGACAAATGTAGTACAAAAAGTCCAAAAGCAAGGCCAGTCAAGGTGCTATAATCATTTAGTGAGGGAAAATTAAATTGAGAAGAAATTTGGGGTGGTATGAGATGCATTTCTTTGCAACTTAACATGCTTAATGTTATTATACCTTTTACTACTTCATACTATTTCAGTTGTGTTCAGAACTGCGAAACTGTATTTTTGAAGCATATTCATATCTTTATGAAAAAATATCCTTAATTTATTAATGGAAATATTTTCCACATTTTATCACTTGCCTGTTATAAAATATAGTTGGATTGAAGGGGGGCGCACAAAAGTTGAAACCGCATACCCATCAGTAAATGTGCAGTTGCGCCCCTGAGTGTGATTGATGTGGTAAGGAGATAAAGAAACTCACGTCTCTGAGGCATCGAGAGCTGCCCTCTCTGAAAGTGGGTTTACAGCGGAAGTTGATCTGTTGGGACAGATTTATAGATTAGATTTGCAGAATAATATAAAAAGCAGCTACTATTGTTCCAGATCAATGGTCTCAAACTCAATTCCTGGAGGGCCACAGCTCTGCACAGTTTAGCTCTTGAACACCTTGATTAGTTGGAGCAGGTGTGTTTAATTAAGGATAGAGCAAAACTGTGCAGAGCTGTGGTCCTCATGAATCGAGTTTCAGACCTGTGTTCTAGATCAGGGGTGTCCAAACTTGGTCCTGGAGGGCCGGCGTCCTGGAGTCTTAGGCTCCAACCCTGATCAAACACACCTGAACCAGCTAATCAAGCTCTTACTAGATTAGGGCTGCCTAAACTTGGTCCTTAAGGGTTGGTGTCCAGGAGAGTTTAGCTCCAACCCCAATTAAACACAACGGACCTAAATAATCAAGCTCTTACTAGATCAAGGGTGTCCAAACTTGGTCCTGGATTGCTGGTGCCCCGCATAATTTAGTTCCAACCACAATTAAACACACCTAAACCAGCTAATCAAGCTCTTACTAGATGAGGTGTGTCCAAACTCAGTCCTTGAGGGCCGGTGACCTACATATTTTAGTTCCAACCCCAATTAAACACACCTGAACAAGCTCTTATAATAGGTATACTAGGAAACTTCCAAGCAGGTGTGTTGAAGTAAGTTGGAGCTAAACTCAGCCCGCTCAGATTATGGCCCTCCAAAACAGAGTTTGGACACCCCTGTTCTAGATCATCTCAAAGCTATTTATTTATATTATTCATCATATTATTAATACAATCATATTCATTATTTATATAACTTTCAGATTTGGCTTATTATTATTTAAATAATCATTAAATCCACAGCAAGAAATACAGAAAGACCATTTTAATGTGGTGATGTCAAAGGCCCATGAACATTTCCTGCTTGTTGTCAAACCATTTCATTACAATAACAAGAGGCAAATCAATCATAATGTAACGTTAAAACAGCTGCCATAGCATTATTTATTAATTTGTAGACCTTTTGGGATTCTCTGAAGCGATGAAAATCACAAATGTAAAACAGAAAATACGTTAGGACCACTGCTATTGTTCACGTCCCTCAAAATAGTCTATATAGTTGAGGGCAAAATTATCAGCCCTCCTGTGAAAATTTTATCCTTTTTTCCAAAACATTTACCAATATTTTATATGAAATTTTGTCTTTTGAAAAAGAAAATTCTTATTTGTTTTAGTGTGATGAATAGAAGCAATTTTATTCAATTTTTTATGATTTTTACGGTTCATATTAACAAGAAATATTAAAATATATCTTTATTACATTTACATTTACATTTAGTCATTTAGCAGACGCTTTTATACAAAGCGACTTACAAATGAGGACAAGGAAGCAACTTACACAACTATAAGAGCAACAATGAATAAGTGCTGTAGGCAAGTTTCAGGTCTGTAAAGTCTAAGAAGGAAAGTATTAGTACTTTTTTTTTTTGGGTACAGTTAGTGTGATATCCAGAGAGGCAATTGCAGATTGGGAAGTGAAGTAGAGACCTATTAAATTGGCTACAGAACAAACCATTTGGCTACACTATTATCATTATATTTACTCATACCTATATTTTCAGTATGCAATATTATAATATTAATAATATAGAAATAAAATGCTGAATCATTTCTAAAATATTCACCTTTAAATAAATAAATAGTCCAAAAACGACTGAAAAATACAATCCACATACTGAGTAAAACACAACCCAGTTTTTTTCTTAAAAAAAAAAAAAAACTATATACACTCAAGCCCAAAATTATCCATACCCCTGGGGTAGGAATAATTGCAGGCTTGACTAATATAAAAATTGAAATATCATATATCTATAGTCAAATAATATATCTATTCATGCTTTACTAATATATATATAGTAAAATAATATAGGCACAACTATATATCTCCAGTGAACTAATACATCTATCTACAGTGAAATCTAGCATCATTCATCCCCGTCTCCTCCAGATGACTATATTTGATCAGGCAACAGCAGGAACCCACAGCTCCTGATCCTAAAAACCACAGCGGAAAAACCCGGATTATCCCGCCTCCTCTTCCTCCTGATGTCTGTTTGAGGATCTGCTCATCTGTGCATGAGAATAAAGAAACAGCAGATCTGCTTACCTTGTCCAGCTCCTCGATGCAGGCGGTGTGAACCACGATCTTACAGGCCGCACACTTCCTCCGGGGAGCAGACTTCTTAAACAGCACAAAACACAACACAGCTCAACACACGCCATTTTTAAAAACTTTGAACATGGCATGGTTGTTGGTGCCAGATGGGCTGGTCTGAGTATTTCAGAAACTGCAGATCTACTGGGATTTTCAGGCACAACCATCTCTAGGGTTTACAGAGAATGGTCTGAAAAAGAGAAAGCATCCAGTGAGCGGCAGTTCTGTGGGCGCAAATGCCTTGCTGATGCCAGAGGTGAATGGTCAGACTGGTTCCAGCTGATAGAAAGGCAACAGTAACTCAAATAACTATACATTAATATATATCATGCCACTAATAATTTGAACCCAGCTTGTTTTGTTTCCTAATTTAATCAACTTTCTTGAACTAATCTGAATCTGCAGCTCATCGTTGTATAATTCAGCGGTTCAGCCTTCAGCTGTAAAAAGCTTGTTTTCTCTCCGGCAATGGCAGGATTTTGCCAACCACTTGAAGTGGCAATAATAGAGCTGCCACGGCTCTTGAAAACATCAGAGCGGAGCGGCGCTTTAACAAAAGCTCAACCAAATCCTTTTACCTGCTGAAAAACCTCAGTCTAATAGCTGCTTCTGCCTTTCTCAGCTTCACATTTACTCCTGAAAGAAACGTCAGATCTGAAGTGCTCTAATGATGAACACAGCCAGTCTAAACTAGAGCTCACAAAACTCACTTTAGCATTTCTGTATCATACCTTAACAATATTGATATATTAATTTCTATTTTTGATACTTTAAATCAAGCAATAAATCAAGTTACTGTGTAGTTTTCATGCATGTGTTAATTACTTTATTTGCGTTACAAAACTTTGAATAATAATA